ATGCGAGAAGGAAGCACAGGGAAAAGGAAAGGAGACTCCCAGGTCAGAGCAATATCATATTTGAGTGTTAAAAACACGATATGTGTAGGTATATAACCTTTTAAAAATAAGGAAACATTTAATCCTGGTTATCTCATAGCTCAGAGAAATAAAGAGGGTATTTCCATTTTATTGTGTAACTTTTAGATTGAGTGTTCTAAGAGCATATACTACTTTCCAAAAAAAGAAAAACAGGTTATCCGTGCTGATAATTATAGACTGCTTTTTTATTTTGTACATTACATTATGTTTGTTTTTAGCAAACAACGAATGTTTTTTCACTTCTTTAAGAAACTAAAGATCCTTAAAAGTGCTTTATCAGTAGGAGATTACCATCTAAAATGCTATCAAAAACATGAAATCTGAATATATATTATCAGACAGGGAGAGCTACTTAAAAATAAAGAATGTCGCATACAGGTCAGGTGATATATATAATTTCCTCCCTTCCCACAATTTTTTGTAATATTGTTGTCACTTTACATAGAAAGCAAGCAAAACTTAGAAAGATCTCATGGTCCTTTACCTATATGAATGAAAAATATTCAAAAAGAGAAAGCTTCACTGCTACCAATACATTTACTTACTGTATCAATAATCAATTGTTTATATTTAATGACAACCTGCTGATATTGTTTGAAAATATCTTACTGTTATTCTCTCATGTTCTTTTTTCATATGTCCTTTATTTTCTTGAACAGGTTTCGGGTCTGAAAAATTTGAATTCTGTGCATTCTCTATCTTTCGACCTAGATATGGGGGAGAGGAAGGTCAACAGAAAGATGTTTCAGACAAGACATTTTTACATATAGGTGATTTCTAGATTTAGATATCAAATAATAAATATAAATGGGGGCTACAAACTGCTAATTGTGGGTCAAATTCAAACTACAGATTGGGTACCTTTGATCAGCATAGAACATTTAAGTTGGTGAACTGAATGTTATTTATTGAAGCAGGCAATACTTAGTTTGGTAATAAATCTACTAAGATCATTAGTTTAGCATAGGATAGGGCAGCAAGGTGCTTCTGGTGTGCTGGGGAATATTTCTCAGAGGACCAGCTGCCTGGGTGAGCCAGGTATGCAAGCAGGTGGAGGAGAACAGCACATGTAGAGGGGATCAACATTTTTCTTTTTT